GAGCAAGTGAGGAACTGGGGTGTGCAGAAGAGGGGCCTCTGGGTGCTGGGATAACTGGGTTTAAGTTTATGTAGCCCCTTGCAACTGAAGAATTGAAAAGGTGTCCAGATGAGCTTTTCACAGAGAAAAGTTGTTAAGGTACAGGTTTGAGGTCTCTCAGGAGATGCTGATTGCCTTGTGGGACAGAGCCCTAAATCTGTCAGCAGGAAAAGCGAGATAAGGAGTGGTCCTGCAGAGCTACTCTCAAACCATCCCCATTCCCACTCCAGGGTCCCCCTCCTGTGCTCACTTGTTTCCAGGAATTCCTGGCCTGCTGTTTAGCAATGTGGCTTTGCCCTGGTTCCCAGCAGGGCCATGAAAGGAGCGGGGCTCTGTGTCCAGCCACACGTTCACAGGAACAGGAGCTTCCCCTCACACCTCTGCGTGCCACAGGGAGCCCGGAGCTCACCGGGGCACGGCTCGGCCTCCCTCCCTCCCTCAGCTGGGGCAAAGTGAACAAAAGCAGGGACTGTGTCTCCCCTCTCCTCCATACCAACACCAGGGCCAAGGAGGAGGCAGTGAGCTCTCCACTGTCACCTCTCTCCCACTCTCCGGTCCCTCTCAGCTGTGCTGTGTGGGCAGTCCTTCCAGCTGGCAGGGCACTTTTGCACTGGGACTTCAGAGAAATTCACTCACTGCCTGTAGTCCACTTGCCTTTTACATATTTGGGTACCCATGTTTAGAGCTGTTAAGACACTTTAGTTTTTAAATTCCTGAACACTTTTGAAGTACTGCCTTCCAGTTTAGCAGCTTGCAACCTTATTGGAAGGGCAAACTACCAAGCAAAACTCCAGTCAGCCTCATACACTTCATTTCCCTAAGCTCCCTCAGCATCTAGCAAGGAAAGAGGCCCTTTGTGACATCTTTCAGATTTGCTAAACTAGCCCTCTAGTCTGAATCACCTTCTGAATGGATTTGTCATGCTCCATTGACTACAGAGGGAGCTTAAGGACAGCCTCTGAGATTAACCTCTGACCCCACACACAGGGGTGGTGGGTGCTGAGCAGCCAAACTGCATGAAAGCCTCTGAATCAAAGGTGTTAACTGGGAGTATATCACTAAACTACAGCATAAATCACAATAATGGCTGTTACATCGTTGTTGTAATTGCTGCTAATAACATCAGCAAACAAACTATATTTCTGGATTTAAGATTAGACTGTTTTTCATCTCCCTTGATGAAGCCTTTAGAGACCTGTAGCATAAATGCTACAAAGTAGGAATGTGGCTGCCTATTCCATTGCCTTTTTCATACTATGTTTTACCAGTTTATTGTGACCCTTATGTGAAAGGTTGCAGGGCATCCTGCACTGAAAGAAAATTGACTGGTCTTTTTTCTTTGCATGTGAGCAGATAGAGCAGTAGCTTATTTAGGGAGCTTTCCTGATAAGACAGCAAGCAGCAGTTTGATAACTCAGGTCCAGTTCAAATTCAACTACTTACAAAACAGTGTTTATCAGAGGGAGTGCATGTTTTGTCTCTGAGACACTCAGTTATACAGGGGGTGTGATGGACCCCTGTCAGCAAAGGGGGCCAGCAACAAAGAGAACAAACATGGCACTTCATTCCCAGCCAAGGATAAATGGAGACCTGGTCTTGCCACCCCTTTTGGCACTGGGAAGTGTCCTGTTGAGTCAGTAGGACTATGTGCACAGCACTCATGTATTTGTTACAGGACTGAGATATTACATATTTTAGGATCTTTGCACATTATATCATGAGTCTCAACACATTTTTCCATGCTGAAAATGGGCCAGTTCACATTCAGAATATATCCAAAATCAGGTCCTGAATTCAACCTAAATCTTTCTTAGTATATCTTGTCAGATATACTAAATATATGTGTATGTATATAAAAATATATGACCTATATATTTTTATATGTCAGATATACTTGGCTTACCTTGCAGCCAGTTCCAGCAACCACCCAGGCAACCTTATATTTGGGACAGGTATCTTCAATGCCCCAGTCTGTGTCCCTTCTTTTGTCTTTTTCTAATGCTTGTACCCACTTTATTGTTGTGTTGATCTTTACACCAGGGATTCTATTCCCACTTTTCCAGAGCACTTTTCCCCAGAATTTCTTCCCATATCTACTAATCCCACAGAAGTTTAAAGGCTATTTACAACAGTGACTACATGTAATTGCAGATGTCATGGACATGTTTTTTCTCATGTAATCACTTAAACCCTGAATTTCAGGTGAGCAGCCTGAGTCCTAAACCCAAGAAAGTGAAGGAAAGGAAGAAAGCAAACAAGCAAAAAAGAAATGAAAAGAACGGAAGGGGGAAATGAAATAGGGAAAATATTGCCTTGTGTCTCTTTGGCTACTGCCTCCACTGTAAATGTTTTGAGGAGGAATTGGAAGCTGGTTCACCCTTCCAGCTGGAGATTCCATTGCATTGAGCACATCTTCAAGCAGCCACTTCATCCTGCTGAGCCCCACTGTGCACCCTGAAGCAGCACCGACTGCACTTGAACAAGGTTGAACATCTAGATCCCATGAGCATCTCTGGTGAATTGTAATGAGTAATACAATTTTTAAAAATCAATGTAATAAAAAAGCTTTCAGCCAGAAAGCCCCCACATAATTATACAAGTGCAGAATGCTTTTATTAGGAACAGTAGGGTTTTTAAAATTGTATATCAGGGGGAAAAAATCTGTATCTCAAAATGCAAGTGTCTGCAAGTTAATTATCACTATGGAAAGATCTTTGCTTTTCCTCCATTCCCAACATAAAACACTTTTCTCTTACTCTGCCTCCAGAAATTCCACTAATAAACACCAGTAATAAAAACTCCTAAATAGTTGTTAATTAAATGAAAACAATCTTTTTAAGACAGATTTTTTTTTTGGTGTGTTTTGGTCTTGCAAGGCTTTATATACTGAAAACAAAAATTGTTACTGACCTTTTCAGATCCAAGATTTCATCTTTTGCTCCTATGGTAGAAATGGTCTAAAACAGCAAATGAAAAGTGTTATCTAAGAAAGCAGAGACTAAATAAACACAAACAAAAAACATTATTTGCCAATGGAGACAATCATTTCAGTGATGACTGTGTAGCAACAAAGCCTTTTCTAGCTCAAGATACCCAGTATGGATGGAGATATTTTTCTGTAAAAGATACTCTCTGTGTGTATGGATATTTATATTTAATGTCAAATCTCATTTGACCACAAATATAATAATCTTTCTTTCAGAAATGCTCACAGTGAAGATTCTATAACAGAATTGTGTTTTATTACAAGATTACAGGGTTTTTTTTCTTCCATTTGGGTTTCAGTGGATACAATTAGTACCAGCTAACTAAGAAAAAGAGAGAATCTCATATAGGCAAATTCCCATATCATTATAGAGAAAATAATGGACAAAAAACCTGGATTACTACTTTGTGAGAAGATTTCATCCTGAACATGAGGAGCTCATCTTGCAAATTCTCTGTTCTCAGTGAAAATCAGGCGTTGCTGCACCATCTACAAGGCAAGGGATGAAGTGAGTGTGTCTCTGAGTCTGTGCAAGGGCAACTATCAGGCATTTGAGTTTTAATTTCAAGTCTACCCTGTGCAAGGCCAGAGGGATGATGGAGTGCAAAAAGGCTTTGAACTTCAGCTGTAGTATTGCACCAGATTAGCTCTGGGGTCTTAAAGGTCTCAAAGTGGCTTTGTGCTGCAAGAAGATTCTTGCCTGCAGATATCTCACCCCACTCACCTCTGGCGAGCCTCCTTCCATCCAGACCCACCTGATGAACCACCATTCCCAAAAGTTTGGAGTACAAAGTGGTAGCAGAACTTCAGTCTCTTCTGCATTAAGTCCTCTCCATTCATCTACTCCATACATAACACACCAAAAAGAGGCCATGTAATGACAGAGATGGCCTCCTAAGACCCTGTTCCAGGAAAGAAACCCAGCCAAAAAGAATGGGTGTAAAAGCTCTCTTCCATGTTTATAGCTCAATCAGCATCTGAGGACAGAGGTGGGAAGGACATGAGAAATCCAGAACTGTGTCTCCAGCATGATGGAGCTTAGGGAAGCTAACCATGACTTGACACAGTCATCAAGCAGCTCACGTTTACTGACAGGATCAGATATCTCACATGGAAGTACAAGAGCATCTTAAAACACTCTCTCTACCCTGTAAGCTAAAAATGTAACTAACTGCCAAGCAGCATATTAAAAAGGAATTAACATTTTTATTTTGTAATTAAACAATACTGAGTACTTGGTCTCCTTTCCAAGGATAGGATTTAAGTTTCTGAGTCCATTAGTGATTTGAAGAATGTACTGTCAATTTCCATACCTTACAATACTTAATTTTCTTCCAAACAATTTTAGAAGCCTATATCAATCTCCTCGCCTTGTAAAAAATGTGAAGCATCTTCCTCTTTTGAAAGTGACCGATAGAACATTTTTCCTGGAGTAATTAATTAATTATTCTAAGATTTTAACTAATAGTTGGACACATTAAAAAATCCCAGAGAAATTGAAATGTAGCTTCTTTGTTCTACTTTTGAGTCTTAATCACTTCTCACCAAACACACAAATTAAAGTCACTGTTAAAGTAAAACAGCTGAGGATGACTAGGCTGCTTACCTGATAGTGTAATTAAAAAAAAAAAAAATCAAACTCTTCATCTGTAATCCATCATTTTGTCAATATCACACAGGTTGAAATAACTGCATACTGAAACAAGCTGCTTAAAAGAACTGAAAAGTGACAGGAAATTGAGACAGGCTTTAGTGGGCACAAACCAAAGAAATGTGTCCTGCTAGATTCAGACCTCTTTCTGGCAGACCTCTTTCTACACACTAAAACTTTATCTACATTTACAAATCTGTTTGTGTGACAAGCAACACCTACAACCATTGAAAATAAGTATAATAAAGAGATACCATTATATACTTAGAATTAATTTAAGAAACTCCAGAAACAGTTTCCACAACCAAATGAGGACACCACGTGTCTGTGTATTAGTTTATTTAATTCTTTATCGCCACTAAGATCAAGTAAATTACGCTGATACAATTGGTAAACATATACATTCACTAGAGCCCCCCAAAATCCCACAGAGCTAAGGGAAACATCAAGGGATGTTACAGAATTAATGCTTTCATTCTACAATATGGATATATGGCTTTCATACAAGTTTTAAAAAATTGAAAAGGTAACACACTGCTAGCTTACAAAATCAATATACAAACTGGGAAAAAAAAAAGGAAAAGGAACAGTAAAAGAAAGTAACCCATAAGAAGATATCATATAGCACTGGTTTAATAGATATATACAGAATTAGAAATCCATTGAACATGATATTCAGGCTTTGTTATTTTGACTTTCATTTCTCCTTTCAGTTTACCACTCAAACTACAAGAATTAATATGATTTCTCTCTGACTTTTATTTTTCCATCTTATTTTACCCATTTTCCTCACTTTTTATTGGAAGAGAAAAAGACTTTTCCTGTCTGTGTTTATATGTTCATACTTAACTGAAGCAGTTCGTCTACTTCAAAGCTTTGAACAAAGCCCTTGTGTGTACTTGGTGTGACAGAAGAGAACATCACTGTGATAGTAAGTCCTTTTGGCCATTACATTGGCATGTGTTTTACATTTCCCTTGGACACAGCTATCCTTAAACTGAAGTGCTGGCAAGTGGGACGAAATCTAGCTCTTCATCCTACTTGTGTATTCTCACTTAAACAACAGCACAGGACAGAAAGCTCTTTCATTTCAACCACAGCCTGAAAACGTGGCAGCACTGGTCGTGATTCACATTTGGACTTATGCATGCACCTTTCTAGAGTCTTCTCCCGTATATGAATGTGTGTATATATATATATATGCAGTATTCCTGTGTGCATATTTAGAGAGCAGCTGTGTCTGATGCTGACATCTGCATTAGTTGAATTCTAGCTCCAAGTTGCAGCCTGTCTCTGCTTCAGGCCATCTCAGCCACCACAACACACTCTGGACCATCACAGCCACTTCATTCAGCTGTAACAGTCCAGATGAACTACATGATTGTAATATGGGGAGTGCAATGAATGATCTAATGAGAAAAGTTAAATAATGTCTTGTTGACAGATAGATTAGAGCAAGGGAGTTTGAAAACCAAATTCATTGAATGAAACTGGCTGTGGGTAAAACAGCCCCACAGAGGCTACCCAGTTCTCCTAGCTTTCCATCACTGAATTCAGGGTTAAAGGTTTTGTACAGTTTGTAACTTTCAATGACCACCTGCAATGGGAATACTTCTGCACCTCTGTTTTTACCTCATCAATAAATCCACTCTTTGGACATGTTTTCAATTTTTTGGGGGTTTGGTTTTTTTTTGTTTTGGTTTTTTTTTTTGTTATCACAGGTTTTTAAAGAAAGGAGTCAAATCTGTAGGTACATCTTTTACAGAGTTCTTTAGCCATCTGGGACTCCAAGACATCCAAATTTAAATGACAAACTGCAGAAAGGGCTAAAGTACCACCTCACCAATGAGATAATAATAGTTGAATATAGTTGAATTCTCATACTCAGTTCAGAGTTATGAGGCCACAAGACAGACAGCCATTTGTGAAGAGTGGCAAAAAGGGGCCATTAGGAAAATGATTTGATTTCAGCATTGTTTAGTTTTGGTCCAAAAACAAAGTTTGATGCTGCTATGAATGACACTACCTTCATCTTCTCCAAATACAAACACCCATGGGTGGAAGAGGCTCTCTGCATGTTCTACAGCTGCTCAGGCAAGTCTTTCACAATCCCTGAAACTCTATGCACCAAAATATTTGATGATAAAAGAGGACAGTGGGAAAGGATACAACTGCTTGCCGCTATTTATCTAGTTAAGGTGGTTTTCTGTGGATTTTTTTTTTTTGTTTGAAGGCAGACACTCCTGCATCAATGTCTCTAATTTTTGAGATGATTTTTTGATCATTTCTGTCCCCTGAGAAGCCATGACAAGGTCAAGTTATGAGTAAAGTTCTACCAGCAATCTATCCTCCCAGTAAATCCAGGGACTCCCTTTGCTCATTATCATACTTCCTTGTTCATTGGCATACAGTGATTAAAAACTTGCTACTATGTCTTAATTTCAGAAGGACACAGGTGGAGGAAATTTGTGGTATGGGCTTCCTGGGTCTGTTTTGCAACAATCCAGGAAGAAATGGAAAATATAGTTTCAAGCAGGAGGAAAGATCAGCAACATCCACAGAAGATTAACTGAGAAGTAGAATGCCTTAGCAGAAATGACAGAATAAATGCCATCAAAATTATGGATAAGTGTGGGAAGGCAGGCAACAGGTATAATCTGTCTCTGCAAAGGAGAGAACTCAGTCTCAACTTCAGAGAAGTGCTGTCCTAGAGAATTAAAATGGACTGAATACAAGACACCTACCCTCACTGTCATAGTTTCTCCTTAGTAGGATTTGAGAGACATGAAATGTCTCCCAAAAGGGAAAATATTCCATGCGGAGACATAAAATCCCACTGCTGTGGGATATCAAAATGGTTTCCATCTCACCAATATATTGCTTTAGAAAAGTGGTGAGTTTACATTCTTAATGTTGCTGCAGTTCCTAGACTTGAGGGAAAATTAGGTTGTTGTCCCACCCTCAACATTGACATTAGCCTGTACACTATTTTCTCCTTTTGACTTTGTCTCCACTTGAACTCTTTCTTTTGAGGATGCAGTGGGACTTTACTTCTCTGTAACACTTTACATTTGATTCATTTTAATTAAGGCACAAATCCAGGAAAGCATAAAAACATGTGCCAACCAGTAGTTCTGTCTTCTGCATGTAAGGAACAGGAAATATAAATTTGCATAAAATGCTCCTGACTTCCTGTCTCTTCTTCACCAACTCTCCAAAGTGGCCTGTTTATACATTTTGTAATTGTTATTCTTTCATTTCTTCCAACTTTTCTCCTTTGAAAGCAGTTCAGCCCAGAATGTCATTATGGAATTAAAAGATGAAAATCAGTAAATTACAATTTAGTATCTACCTGCATGTACAACAAACATTTTCCCTTCCTGGAGCCTTGCCCAGGAAGTTTTGCTGCATTTAACAGACTGTTAAATAGGCCAGGATGACAAGCAATGACTCTCATTCACGATGGGAATTTCTGTCAGAAGACATATCTAAGTCAGAAAATGTCCCAGTCCTCAAATACTGTTTTAAATCAAGATATAAGACAGGCCTAACTGAAAGCAGCATTGCCTCAGCTTAGTTAGAGAAAGAGAAGGGAGATATACCAAAATACACACAAATACATTCAGGTTTAAACTCACTGGAGTGCAGAATCTGGATGCAGATTCATGCACAGGTGATGTTCAGCAACTCACCCATCTCTTTTATAATAGATTTAAGTGCTCAGAAAAAGGCTGTCATCTGGGGGATTTTCATCACGTCCCCATACTCCATTACAGCTGTAGCAAATGAAGATGTAAACCACTCCTCAAGAGGGACATTTATGAAGGAAATTTCTGTCCATTCAACTAGGTAAGCAACACATCTATTCTAAGTCATTTTTCACTGTAATAGGATAGCACCAAGACGGTAAACATGTTTTGCATCTGAAGTAGCTGCTCCCACAGCACTATCAGACCAGCTTGCTCTCCCAAAGCAGGGAGGGTAGAAGATTAGAAAGCAAATAGGGAGAAGTTTCAGAATGACTGAAATAGAAACTGATCAAGATGGGTGGGAAGAGGTTTGCTCAGAATCTTGCCTTTTGCTTTCTTGATAATGTCACTAGTGAAACAAGGGGTCCATTTAAGTACTGCAAGCCTCCTTTTAGAGCTGACCTAACTGACTTATTCAATCTTCCTCTGTGTTCTGCCATAAATTACTTTATCACCTCCTGCATAGCTAGACTTTCCACTGAATATTTTCTTCTGGCTTATTGGAAATTTTCTTCATTTTAGGTTTATAAACTATTATTCCAATTGTTGTCAACAATAAGATGCCAATATAGATCCAAACATATGTGGATGAGTCGTACATAAGAAATGTTCTCCTATTTCACACCCTTTTCTGAATTTTCTTCTGGTCCTAACATGATATTTTTTGTTTTGTTTCCTTGTTTTCTATAAACCCTCTCCATGAAGGCCCTATGCCACCACAGGAACCTGGCTGGCTTCCTTCAAAATCTATTAGGAATGTTTCTCAAACAAGCCAGATGGGCAGTTACATGAAAGGACCATCAGGCATCAGAGGAAACACAGGGGGATTTATTTTCTTTATACTCACGGAGGTGGAAATAAGAAGTCACATCTAAGATTTGCTAAAGGACAATCAAAGTGTTGGTCTTAACATCATTCCCAGTTCCTGCCAGCTCCCTATGAAACATGGACTAGATTAACCAGTGTGAGACAATGGTGCAACAGTGTTGGCACTCAAAGTTGAGCCACTTCAAGTGAACTGATGCAGCATGTAGACAGACAAACCTTTGGTGAGTGAAAAAAGTTTCCTTCTCCCTTTGCTTTCAAGCAGACCTACCAAACCATTAGTTTAAGTCTGAGGCACAAGCACAGGTAGACCTGATTAGACCATGAACAAACCAAATAGCACCCAGAACCACCTAAATATGAGCCTTTATGATTTTACATTTGGTCATTGCACCTCCACCACGTGTGGGGGACATTTTTAACTATACCACAGACTCAGGTATGTCTAACAGCATGGTCAAAATAACAAGGACATCAACACAGACTGCAAAACACACCCAAGGAATCTGGGAAATAATTGTGAGGCTAGTCTACCTTAAGCTATGTGCAGCCTTGGCTAGGAGGCTTCAGGAGTGTTTGGGAACAGAAGCACTTGCCTCAACAGATCAGCTGTACCCTCCATGTGAGAAAAAAGAGGGCAAGTTCTACAATTGTTACAATTTTTTTTGCATAGAAAAGGGGAGTGATGTTAGTATGAGAAAAAAAAAAAAAAAAGACTCTCTGCTTGTCTAGAAGCTAATCCCAAGAGAGAAATGTGATTTACTCAGATGAACACGGCCTGCTGCAGCTTCACTGAAGTCAGTGCGTATCATGCAGGAGTACAGGGAAGACTATTCCTCTTGACCAGGAGGCAAGCCTGCAGCCTACACAAACAGCAAAGTTATTTCTTGCTGTTGAATTTTAGGACTTAGAATTCTGAAGCAATGAATTTTAACTTAATTTGGGTACTGAAATCCCTTATATTTCCTCTAAAAATTTTGGTCTGCTTGTTGTCAGTTTGTTAAACAACCCTCTTCTTTGAGACAGACCAGCCATTTGTCAGATCTTTTTTCTACTTTGTGACTTCCCTCAGGATTCAGAATCATTTAAATTAAGTAAAACTGAACAAACTGAAAAACAGCTGGTTGTAATTTTTCTCTTTTTTTCCCCTGCAGGGTATATTAAAAAAAAAAATCACAACTAATTTTATGTTGACTGAGCTTTTCCGAAGGTCTTTTGCTTATATAAAAATGGAAGAAAGCAAAATATACTGGTTTTGTATTTCCCTTCTGTTTTACTAAAAGATAAACCAAAAATTATTTCATTCTTATTGGCTTCAGGTCCCACCAATTGTCCCTTTTTTGGTCAAAAATATGAACTACCTCTGGTGGTTTCCAAACAGATTTCTTCTTTTATTTCCCACAGATATACTATTTTTTAACCAGCTATAATTAAGATCAACAGGAATATTGCCACTGATACAAAAAAAGAGATGGGTTAGGCAGAACCACAATAATTTCAACTAGATCTTTTATGAAAATTATTTTCCCCCTTCTGTCAAAATGAGCAAATAAAATACAGCATTTTTCAGCTTTGATAGGTAAAATGGAGGACACTACCATCACTGATAGGCTGAAAAGTGGAAAGTTTTGTCATCATTCCACTTTGAAAAATCATTGCTAGAAAATCATGAAAAAATAGGACTCTTACGTCCAGTTGTTGAAAGATTTTAGATTTACTGCCAACATTCAAAATACAGTTAAGGAAAGGAGTGTTACTGGTTTTTACCTGTAGATGGTGACATTTTGGAATGAACATAAAGCACACATCCAAGAAAATCTCATACTTGTAAATACTCAACAAAATGCCCCCATCCTTTCCTTAAACAAACAGTTTCATACAGTTATGCAGATGTAATCATATATTAAGAAACAGGCCTCAATTTTTCAGATATAAGGTCCCAGTATGAAATATAAATGCATCCAGCCAGAGTGCTATGTTCACACAGGGTACCACTGGCTTCAGCAGAGCCCCACACAGGCTCAGGTTCTGCTTGCATGGACTAATTACCAAATTGAGACCTATGGCAAGACTTGATTAAAAAAAAAAATTAAAAACCTCTACATTGTTCAATATACAATAGACATAATTTTCTAAATGAGTTTGGAGTCCTTTATTACAGGCCTCTAAAAATTGTTGTTAGGGTTATACATTAAAAATACTAAAGTAATAAAAAAAAAGGATTTTTTTTCTGTGTTTGCTTTTTTCCTTCTATGGTACCATTAAGCTATAAATAATTTTAGGATAAAATGCCTAGGTATAAATGAAACTGTTAACTGATCATGTTTGCTGATGTCCCTTTCTCACATTGCCCAAGTTGACTCCATTAATCCAGCATCTTCTCTTGTTTCTTGCCTTCCTTTTTCTTCTTCTTGGATTCTGTCAAGATATAACAAAAACAATAAAAAATTAGTGTCCAGCAGGCACTGCAATAAATTTCATTTAACACCCGTGGAAGTTCCCCTTTCTTTTTTCTCTCCATGCACATAAGAATTGTCTCCCCATTTTGAACAAAGACAGAGAAAAGAGAAGGAAAAGAAGAAAAATAACAGGAAAGGTTGCGGCAGTAGAGAAGATGGAGAGGGACTTGCATGTTCAGTTCAGAACCCTCCCTATCTGAGGGGCTGACCCTGTTTGGCATGCAAAGCATTGTCTCAGGAACTTGCTTGGAAAATAAGAAAACAGCAGGCATCTCCTGGAGAAACCGGGTCACAGCTCAGTGGAGAGCTGGAAGAAAGCGCTGCACACACTACCCACACATATACCCTTCCCCTGCTTCCTTTCTGTCTCATTGTGAGCCTTTGGCTTTCTCTGAATGTGTGAGCAGCTCCAGAGCATAAGGAGAAAGCTCTCTTTTTTCTCCAGCTCCTCTACTGCCAACCCTTCCTCGTTCCCCTGGGACAGACACCTATGTGCACTTGGGAGGCTAATGGGAGCACGGCCTGTCCAGCCAGCTGAGACTTATGGGATGAGCAAAGGACTAAGGAGACCTGCTTCTCTAATTAATTTGGGGTAAATAAGGGAAGGATGGGAAGGCACAAGTGAAAATTTGTGTGTTTTACTACCACCTGCAGAAACTTTCACCGTACTCTAGGGTAGCTTGGTATTCGACAGGTAAAGGAATTTCACAGAGGGACCTTGGAAATTAAAACAAATTAAGAGGATTAGGTACTCTTGTGTCACACGTCACCTTGTCATGGGGAAAATAACAGCTCTCGCTGGGAACACGAGTAAATCCCTATTGATATCAGTAAAAAACAGCACAACAAGAACCACAGAGAGATGGAAACAGAGCTTCTGTGAAGCATCTTCTCTGGAATCAGAACAGCAAGCAAGCCTAAACCCAGTTTGTCTTAACCCAGATTTCATTAATCAAACCAAGCAAAACTATCATAGAATCTTAGTATATGCTGAGTTAGAAGGGATCCAGAAAGATCACTGAGTCCAACTCCTGGCCCTGCCCAGGACCACCCAAAAAATCACCCCATGTTGCATGAGAGGGCTGTCCAAACACTTCTTGAACTCTGCCAATCTTGTTGCCATGAACACCACCTCTGGCTAAATAACAACTATCACCTTGAATGAGAAGAAAAGCACTTAGACCTTAAGGTGGAACTTATTCACATATTTGTGAATATGATCCTTTTCCCTCTGACTCATTTACATAATGAATCAGTCTAGGAATCATCAGTTGTGGTAAAAAGAGCTTGTTTTCATTAAAGCCAAGGCAACTACATCAACTTCTCTCAGGTATGGATAGGTCCAGGTACCTCCAGCAGAAGGCAAATTTAGGCTACCACATTTCTGTGATGGTTATTTTTCCTTTTTTCTAGTGTTTCAAACCAACACTTTTTTTCATCTGTTAAAACATAGCAAAAATTACTTCCAATAATCCTTTAGTCAAAGCAAAATAAAATACTTGTTTAGTCATATGACCTGCTCGAATTGCTTAGATTTCAAAGGAATAATAAAAAATTTAATTTCAAAGAGATAAATTAAAAGAAGAATTTTTTTTTATTTGAAAACCAATTTTCCCCCCTGCTTTTTCATGTATGTGTGTGCTTGCATGTGTGTCTGAATGTCTGCATCTGGAGCTATTCACATAATCTGACACTATTTCATAACTTGTCCTTAGAAAAAGCAATCTTTCATTGACTTAGTATCTAATTTGCTTTCAGCTACAGCTTTCTCTCCACTCCTGAAAATTTCCTGCATCCCCCCTCAACCTCTTTTGCCCACATCCTCCGCTTCCTCTAATTTTGCCACGCTATAAGACTGACCCTCCTGAAATCTGTATTGATTGCACTCTGCCTCATACTTTTTATTCCCCACACAACACCACTTTCTCTGAAAGAAACAGTGGCATTTTATCAATCAGTCTGGCACTGGAATCTGCAAAATTTATTTAGACCCAGCACACTCAGCAGGGTGCTATGCAGACTTGAACCAGATTTACTAAGAGCAAAGGAGACATATAAATGCAGGCAGACTGCTAACAGGACTCTGCTGAAGAGTCCAGGAGAAGACTGAGGTCTAGAGTCATGTGAATGCACCAGCTCTCCATCCTCACTTCACCTGAGGTACCAGACAACCCACTGTTTATTCATTTGCACTTAATGTGTATGGGTCCACATCTCTTCCTTTCTCAATTCTTCCCCTGTGTCCACCCTTGTGGACCATCCAAGCTGCCATCTACCTCCAAAGACAAGTGACTCTGCTTTGACCCTCAGCAGAGTAAAAGTACTCAGCAGAGTACTCAGAGTACTCAGCCTCAGCAGAGTGAAAGTACTCGCTGTCCTGTGAGTACTTTCAATGAGGGAGGAATTCCTCATTGAGGAAAGTACTCACATCACCAAAGCTTCATCTTTTAGACAGGTAATCTGGATTGATGCATAGCGTATTTGCTCCATGAAATGACATGTATACACGCAATTGTGGAAATATTAAAAAAAAAAAGGAAAAAAATGAAACTGCCCAGCCCTTAGGCTCTTTTATAGGTCCCACCACAGATACCAATATCCTTGTGCTGACCCATGGAAATGTTGACGTTCATATGTTCATGCACAAGTCTGTTCACAGCTACACTCTACCTGTTTTGATTATGATCAGGCTATGGTATGTCCATGGCTAACAATGTATAAAGTTGCTTCAAGATGCACTTTGCTTGTGGTTTTTCATTTCCCTACGTATTCTTTGCATTTGTGTCATTCCGGCTTTTATTGTTCTCATCTTTGTTCACCCTCCTCTACAATTTCCACTTTTATGACAAGATGCAGGGTCACAGCCACAATGGGAGCCACATCACCCTGATCACCCTGCCAGTGCTGCCCTCCCCAGAGTAACCAGGAATGACTGAAAGGGCCACCATGCTCAAAAGGCTGATGAGTTCAGAGAAAAATGAGAGCTATCTGCCAGTTCCTGAGTCCCAAACTCCAGCATCAGCTGTAGCCAATTGCCAGTTAAGTGAGGGAAAGATCCCCTAGGTATACTGTCCAACAGTCCCCTTCAGTTTCCTGTTCCATATATGAAAATGATCAAAATTCAATTCAGGTTAGCACAGATTGGATGCCAAGACCTTCAGTTCAGCCATTTGCTACTAGGCATCTTAACCTGGTCCCATCAGAAATTAAGTGACTAAGCAGAGCCCTCTGAGACAGCCTTTCTGATGGAGAAGCCACAAAGCTGATTCCACATCTCACTGGCACTGCAAAGCAGTATGAGCCCAGCAACACCCACCACTGAGCCAGAGAGGAGCAGGAAAAGCTGCCCAGTAAGCAGGGACTGTTCTGAGCAGAACCCTGCCATTTTCAGGAGCTTTGGGCCTACAGCAGCCTCCTTCACCTCACCCACCCCACTGAGTGCAGTATTTCCACAGGCAGAGCCACGGAGCTGTCTACCAGCTGTCCTTTGCCTTCAGGAAATGTGTTTGCTGCAGACAAGTGCCTCCAAAAATACAGAGAGACACTATGGTAAAAACACTTAACCAGATGAAACTCAGGTTCACACCAACCCACACAGAATTTGAATCTAAATCTACTCACTGCCCTATTTGCTTTCAAGTCAGGTGGCCCACTTGTGCCAGACACCAGCTGGCAGTATCTTTATGAGCTATCTATGGTAGAATTCAGGGTCCAGAGAGGCAGAAGCCAAGCAAAAAGAAGGATGATAATCCTGGTTTCAGAAGAGCAGATTTTGGTCAGTTCAGGAACCTGCTCAGCCAGGCTAAATATCCTGGACCAGGGTGCATGCAAAGAGCAAATTCCAAATGCCTGGTAGTCCCTGCAGTGTGCAACCACCAAGCATTGCACTGCCACTCTGCTCCCCCCTGGAACCAGTGCATTTACAGCAAAATCAAAACCCAACAGTCCTGCAGGAGCAAACTGTGTCAATGCACAGGCACTGGATAATCTAATCCTTCATCACCAGAATAACCCTACAAATTTTCGCAGGACTTAGAATTATTCACAGGATTAAAAACTGCTCATGAATTAGCACTGGACTCACTTTCTGTGGGCCCAAGATGACCAGTAACAAAAATTTCAATCAGGGTCTTAGAGAGTAAACAAGTTAATTTGATTAGCAGAACTTTCTCTATGCAATTTGAAATCGCAGCAGTCCTCTTTAAACAGTCATCTTTATTCCAGAATCTCATTCTTACTATGCAAGCAACAAATGAAAGTAATTCAGCTGAGCAGGAGCCACACACCATTTGAAGCCACTCTTAATGTATAATCCACAAAAGGGAGGTAATTACATTTTAATGGAAGTCAAGCTTTGAAAGGCAAGATTTGCAGGTCTTTATTTTCATTTGCTGAAAAAAAAAGGTAACAATTCACTCATGACACTGCTGAATTTCTGTGCATAAAAATCAAGCAGTGTCCCCAAAAGCAATATAAATCATTCAAAATAGCAAAAGCTGTGCTGATAGAAGTTTAGAGTAAAAAAAATTCCACATCAGATACAATGTTCAGGATACAATTTTCCCAGGTCCTAGCACTCACTCAGTCTTACCAAGCTCAGAGGAAAGCATGTTTTAGAAAGGCCACTCTACCTCTCAATTGGAGAAAAATTTTCCAAAGCACCAGGTTTCTGTGGTAGTAAAGGGGGTGCATGGAGCTTCTAAATTTTGGAGATGAAATGCCTGTCCCTGTGGAATGGAGAAGTCTTAACTTTGGTATAATCAAGGATTTTATACTTTTGCAAAAAAAAAATATCACCTTACAGACATTCACACTCCTGTCTAGGAACAGAAACTGTATTATTTTGTGATTTCCAGGACTGTAAAAACAAGTACCTGGATTTCTGAAAACCCTTGAAATACAGTATTTCTTTTTCTTGTAGAGGAAGAGAACTTTTCATTGCTATCTAAATCCTTCTCT